GCCGCCGCTGCTGCCAACTGCCAGCCGTGCAGTGAGTAACGGCCTGCACTGGTGTGGCGCGGCCGTCCTGTGCACAGTTGCACCTCCCCACCCCTCCCCTTATGTATTGCAACAGCAGCCAGCGACAGAGCTGCGCTCTTTTTCTCCTGCACCCCCTCCCGGTCGACGTGCGACTGCGCTTTTCAAACCGGATATCGCCGACTGGATTTCCTTTGCCGCTGTCGTATGAGCAGTCCCCGGTCCAGCTAGATGGTTCCTGACGAGTCCTCTGTCCTCTAGACGCGCCGCGCCGGCCGACCCGACGGACGGACGTCCGACGGGCGATGCGTCGACGAGAGTTCTTTATTCCGTCGCAGCGCGCCGCTCCGAATCAGGCCCATTGTGATTCTACTCGTGTTGCGCCCGTCATTACGCTCGAAATAAAAGTAAATAAATAAATAAAGGGGGAAGCGATAGTGGGACAGAGAGAGACAGACAGAGAGGGATGGAGGGGCGGGGGAGAGGGGCCGGTGGTTGCTGGAATGAATCTAAAGTCAACAGGAGAACCGGACAGCCGCACGCTACGTCGGCTCGGGCGGCCATTTTCGTGTCGTTTGATCGTACGGGTCGCGACCGTGGCCGTGTGTGCGTTGCTCGGGGTTCTAACACCAGAACCGGCGACTGCCCCTTTCATGCCCCTCTCTCTCTTTCTTGCTCTCTCTCCCTCTTTCTTGCTCTCTCTCTTTCTTGCTCTCTCTCTCTTTTCTTGCTCTCTCTCTTTTCTTGCTCTCTCACTCTCTATAACTCTCACTGTCCCGCTCTCGCTGTCTCTCTTCCTCTCTCTCCCCCCTCCCCCTCTCTCTTTATCTCTCTCTCTCTCACACACACGCCCACACCACGGTCGTCCTGGCGGACAGCGAGCCCTTTGCCGGACAGGCTTGCGATGAATGTCCACGGCGCGCCGCGGCGGAGGCCATGACCGCCGCCACAAATCAAACGGCCGTCCCCTCGTCCGTGTAACTGCTCGTCCGCCTCCTACTCTCGCCGCGCTCTCGTACCCCGCGAACCCCGACGAAGCGGGGGGCTCTTTCATGCGGCAGCATGCCGTGAGGTTTGCTCTGTCTCACATATTGTCGTGTCAACGACGGTTAACCCCTGTCAATGTCAGCGTCCGAGGTGGGTGGTCTAGTCTAATCCACTCCGCGCCAACGATATTTTGGCAATAGCGTAGCTTCTTTGTGGTGATGGTGAAAGTGAAAGTGGCCGAGAAAATTGTCCGCGCCGTTTCCACTTTGCGTGGTGGGTCGTAGGGTCCCGAACGACCGGGAGAGGTCGTCAGTCCGTCTCCATCGTGCAGAGTGTTATTTGCTGCGTCTTTTCTCTTTCGTATCGGGCTGAAATCAGCAACGCGTCGAGTGCAAGAGAGGGACAGAGAGGAGAGAGAGGCGAGGAGAGACGCAGAGGGGGAGAAGGAGGGGTGCGGGCGTAGGCGTCCCCCAGCCCCTCGTTGTGTGCAGCTGCCGGGTGGCTGCAGCAGCTGGCTCCCTATTGTGCTGCGTACGCTGAATGGACAGTCTGTGAACATTTCTCCGCCGTGCGTCCTGTCGTTGCGCGCCGGGCGGGTGGAGAGGCGGGGTAGGGGGCGGGGTGGAGTGTGCTGTGTGGGGTCGCTCCCCCTGGGGTAGCGCTGCTGCCGGGGTGAGTAAGCGGTGACCGCAGAGAAGGTCGGGCGCCACCACCCTCCTCGACACCCCCTACTTGAGGGAGGGTGCTGCTCCCGGCCTCCTCGGCCGGTTGGAGCGTCTCATCCCTACGAGAGAGAGAGAGAGAGTGAGAGGGAGGAGAGACAGAGACACACACACAGAGAGAGAAGGGGGGGGGGGGGGGGGGTACCGAAGACCCCAAACGGCGCTGACTTGATCAAACCGGATTAAGGTTTCTCTTGGTGAAAATCGCATTTTACTTTTCACGTGAACGATCACTAAGATTTTATACGCGTTTAGCATCAATCAATCAAATAAATACTAGATCTTTTTGGATTAGCAAACTAACTACATACATTTCTTTGCGAGGAATAATCAATCACAGTTTTTTTAGATCAAATGTTTATTTCCAGTCCGTGCAAGCAACTTAATCCAAAAACGAAGAGGAAAGGCATAGCGTAATGCATTGGTATTGCTTTGCTTCCAGCTCCTGTACTGGAGCCAGGAACGAATGTGAAAGGTACCTTTGGCACTCTTCTGTTGGTGCCAAGCTCTTGGAAAAACCATGCCGATTTTTTGATGGTCCGATTCAGTGAGCCGTTTTCGTAGTCCACGTGCACAAGACCAAACTTTCGTCTGTAACAAAAACAAAGGGTCACTCCAGGATGGCTGCTACCCTTACTCTGGCGCTATATTATTTAACTGAACACTACAAGTTCCTACGTGTAACCGGCCGTCCACTCGAAGGCGTCGATCAGACTCCAGACTAGATAGCCCATTACGTTAACGTTCTCCTCCGTGGCGACGCGGATCAGCTCCTGCAGGTATACCTAAAAGTAGAATACAGGGTTAGCATCAAGGACGCCGGGGCTCCATATACTCGCGTCACGGTTAGCGCTAGTTGCAAAGTGATGCTGCCGCTGCTGGACAGCTGGACGTTCGTCCGCAGAGTGCTTGCAGCGGACGGGGCCCGCCGGCGCGCCGTAGCGCCAGCGCCTGCGGATGCCAGGGTAGGCCAGCCCGCGGGACACCCGTGCGTGCAGCGGGCCGGATGGCCTACCCACCAGGCGCTCCGAGCGCGTAGAAAACAAGAGGTATTCCCTGTCACGCCCAGCTGTCAGGAGATTGTACTCACGCTGTGGTAGCCGACCCTGGGCTCGTCGTCGAGGGGGTCAGACTTGGGGTCAGCTTTGCCTCGCTCGTCAGCCCAGCCGTTCTCCGTGATGAAGAGGGGCGTGTTGTTGTAGTTGTCGCGGATCCAGAGCGGCGCGTCCCTCAGCACCCAGGGGTTTGCCTGACAATAAAAAAGGCCGCGTTAAACTTCTCCGAGCGACGCCCCTTTGTACACACCCCCCGCACCGGAAACGCAAATGGTGGTCGGTGTCGTACACTTTCATTACTTGAAGTGTGTAAACGCCATTCGTACACATGAAGTGTGTGAATTTCATAGAAGAATTCACACCTTTACTTTCTTTAGGGTACGATCGGGTATTCACACTCTTGCGACCCCGCCGCCTTTGCCCTCACCCGCATGAACAAGTCCCCGAAGTGGCCCGGCCTCGTGTCGCTGGCGACCTCGGCGGCGTCGCGGTCGGACTGGATGGTGCCGCCGCCCGCTGGCCGCGGCTGCTTCGTGCCGTCCGCCACGGTGGTGCCCATGTACGCGTTGAAGCAGAGGAAGTCGGCGCTGCCCTTGAGTCGCGCGCGCTCCTCGTCCGTGAAGCTCGGCAGGCGGGAGGACGACCGGCCCTCCAGCGCGCTGTAGTGCGCGACGCGCTCCTTGAGGGCGGTCGGGTAGTCGCCGTACACCACCGGGTGGTAGATGGAGCCCAGGGCGAACAGGTTGCCG